TAGCTTAAATCTCACACTGGTGTTAAACTGGACATGAATACAGAAACACAGCGATCAATGAGAGCTCAACTCAACATGATATATGACATTAGCGTCGCAATTATTACACTTACCTAACAAGTCCACATATCATTTTTTCAGGGTTATTTTAAAACACTGGACTGTTGTAACGTAGACACAGAAAACGAATGCAGAAAGAAAATGAAAGCCAGAGATCCTGGGAATGTTTTATGTTTTTCTGGATTCACAGCACACACCCCTGTCATGGAAAACGTTTTTTTATTTTATCAGAATATAACATAGGACATATTTTCACTAACTTCATTTTTTATTTATTTTTTTTTCCTTTTCAGATGTCTTGATTTTTATTATTTATGAAAGTAAGCTGGAGCTTCTGGGAATGTTTTATGTTGTTTTTGTTAATACAATGAAGGAAAACTCTTCTGTATCGATCAATTTTATAATTTATAATTATACCGCTGAAATATTGCACTTATTTTCACCACATTTATGACAATATATTTTTTTCTTTAATTATTTTTTGTTAATTATTATAATGTTTTTCTTCACATTTTTCAAAAATATATATATTTTTATTTAAAAAAAGAAAAATTCAAGAAGATTACTTCAAAATGTTTAATTAAAAACATGTATTCATGACTTACATTTCATTTTACATCATAGTCTCACCCTGTCCTCCTTTCAGAGGTTTTTTCTCTGTGTGTGTGTGTGTGTGTGTGTGTGTGTGTGTGTGTGTGTGTGTGTGTGTGTGTGTGTGTGTGTGTGTGTGTGTGTGTGTGTGTGTGTGTGTGTGTGTGTGTGTGTGTGTGTGTGTGTGTGTGTGTGTGTGTGTGTGTGTGTGTGTGTGTTCACGTTCAAAACTCAGACCTTTGACCTCAGTGTCAGATATTATTATGCTCAGAGGATGAAGGTTAAAGTCTCCTCTCCTCTGTCAGATATTAAGCTCCAGCACCTTTCACTCTGACCCTTTAAAAATAAAAAATACATAAAGTGCTGAGCGCAAAAAGTGTCTGTGTTCATGCAGAGATGATGAGGAGGAGGAGGAGGAGGAGGAAGAGAAGGTGGAGGAGGAGGAGGAGGTGATAACCATCATCAGCTTTTAGCAGAGTTGAGGTTCATTAGCGCCCATGTACCCTCGAGGCTAACAGGAGGAGAGCACGTCTGACAGGAAGCAGAAGCGGTGCTAATGCAAACTGTCAGCATTAATTATGAGCTTTATCTAAACTGCAGACAGAGATCTGAACACTGTTTGAGAAGCAGTGGTGGAGGAAGAGTTCAGATTATTTGAAACGGTTCTATTAGGATTGTAGTTTTCCCATTCCTGTAGTGTGTTATAAAGGTTTGTGCATGGAAATGGTCCTTTTTGAACATTAAAGCATGGAAACATGTCACAGTAGAGACACTAAATACTAATATGAATATGTCCTCTTTAACTTAAGGAGATTTAGGAAAAATAAAGTTTGCAGGTTGTCTAACAAAAAATAGTAGGCATACTCTAAGAAGTTGTTTGTTTCCCATTTGGCTATTCATTTTTTAATACAATATGCTTCAATCTGCTGATCAGTATGACCCTGCCCTTGCAGGTCGTAGTGTTTCCTTGAGAGTGTCCACATCTTCCTGGAAGTCTGTTGAACGTTTAAGTTGTTTGTGCGAGAAACTAAATGAACTTCTGCTGGAATTGAATATGATGTTATTGTTTTTCACGCTCTGACTAAACAACTCCCTCTGTCTTATAAATTCAAGAAAAAGACTTTAAGATCCTTCAATAATGCAACAGGCCAGATATTTAAGACATAAAAAAAGTTGTATTAAATAGTGCAACGTCAATGGTGCACATAAGATACAGGAATAAGTAGACTACATGTAAAGTCAATTAAAATAAAACTGAATGTAAAATTGAATACTGCAAAGTGAACTCTAATACTGTATATTGTAATAATACATTAAAAATGTGTACGGAAAGACCCAGCTTTCCTGACTGAGGGCCTGGTCCTTTTTTAAAGAGGGGAAGGGGGGTGCATGTCTCTATTGATGAACGTTCATCAGCATGCAGGGGGGGCCTCGTCCGTCACTGCGACCGAGTTCAGCTTCTGATTCACCCGACGTTCATCCCTCCAGAAGAGAAGAGATTTGTATTATCGTTTATACGGCCAGACTTCAATGTATGGCCAGGGTTAGGGTTAAAGTAAATACAAAATAAATAATGATCTTAGTCAACTAACACTGATGTGAATTTGACAACAAATGTGTTGTTAAATCATCATGTGAAAGCACCACTTTAAATATGTTGTGCTCATTGGTGTCCTTCTATAGGAGAAAAGCATTAAAACAATGACTAATCAACTTAGGATTTCTTCACAACAACCAAAAAGAGAGGGATTTTAACATCTTTCCATCAATTAATGTTATGTTTTGATAAAAATGTCTGAAATAGAGTGAGATTTTTTAATTGCCATAGTCCAAAATCATTCTTATTTTAGCTAACTTTGCAGCATGGTTTAATTAGTGGCAGTCTGTTGGTCTGTTGGCCCACCACTTCCACGTGAAAAGGCTAAAAAAGTAGGGTTGTGTCGTTTGCATGACTCAATTTGCATTATTCAATATATAAATGTTACATAACACATCATTGATTTGATTCTATTATCAATATGTGCTTTTTTTGTGTGTATAAGCGCTTTTACATGGACAAAATGCAGTATACTATGAGTACCTGGATGGTACAAAACGATTAGTGTACATCCCTGCACAAGTGTCAATGATGTAGTTCTTGAGAATGGTAGCAGTGGTTGAAGTCAATTTTAATAAAATTGTCAAGAGAGTAAACAACCCGACAGATATTTTCTGCAGGGGACAAATTAGGTTTTTAATAAAGGCATTTCAAATCTGCCATTAAAAGAAGAAGAGTTGGTCAAAAGCAAGATCAATAGAGACACTTATTCTACTGTTGGATACCTTGTACACAGTGTACTTCAGCATGTGTTTGAAGTATCCACATATATAACATTTACAAGAAGCCTACGAACCAATCAGATGGAAGGATTCTGTTTCCGTGGTAACTGTGGTATAATTTCAGCAAAAGTGAGCGAGTGAGACTGACTGACAGACTGACTGACAGGAAACAATCAGCCGAGAGTTCAGACGTTCGGCAGCCGTCAGTCTGAACCCAGGCGTGTTGGAGGTTTCTTCCTCTTTCATTCTGAAACTTTTATCTCAGGAGAGTTGAAGCCTTTAATGGTCATGTCTCAGCTGGTTGAGACTGAAATCTGTTCATTAATTTACCCAAGCTCAGAACGAAAATTCATCACTGTGAACCGAACCTAATTCTGTCTTTTCAGAAGTAGTAGAAGAAGAAATGACCTGAACCTCTGAATCTGTCTGTAAACTGGCTTCAAACGGCTGCAGTTTGTCAGCTGTGACACTAATGAGAGAAATAACTAAATAGAAGACTTTGCCTCATGCAGGAAAACAGCATGAAAACAATACTTTTCAAACACCTGGGAAGATGTTCTTTCATTTAGCATTGGCAGAAATGAAATCTAAGTTCTCAGAAAGATGAGTCAGCGCAAGAAACATCGCAAATTACCAAACCAAATGTTTTGCGAGGGAATATATGTTTTTCTGTCTACAGAAGTTGGCTTAACGAGGGACAAAGGGTCTTTATCATGTTGTTGTTACCTGTTGTTTTGGGTCGTCACTGCAAAATAGATCAATAAATACTGGGTCCTGCTTACGCTGTTGGGGTTTCTTTTGAATAAATGACCAGCTACCTGCCAATTATCCTGCTTATGTCAAGGCAACTTACTAAATAACTAAATCATTTCACACAAAAAATGTATTTAAACATATTTTATTAACTCAACTTAAAATGACAGCAGCTCTGATTGCGGTTTTCTGTAACTGTCCAAGTCTGTTCACATTTCCTTTTCCATTAACCAGTCTTTAAACACTGCCAGAGCCCATGCTGTGTTCCTGTTATTATTTACTTCCTGTCTGTCTTCTTCAGCTTTTTTACTGGGGACAGTTCTCCATAATGAATCCAAAGTATAGTCGTTCTCCACAAATATAAAAAATGAATATTCAAAAAGTATTACATAGTGGTAAATGTTAAATTGAAAAAAATTGACCTGATGTCTTTCTGCGGATTGATTCAGCTGCACATGGTACTGAATTCAGAGCGTCCTTAGCAACATTCTGCTATACAGATAAAACCAGTGGTGAACCGTCAGAGAATACCCTGGAACACTGAGATAAAACTAAATTAATTATATAAAAAATGTAAATAAATGAGTATCGTATCTGTGTTGTCTGTAATATTACAGTGTTACGTTGATTTGTTTGTGTTTCTCGGTCCATGCATTACGCATTTGAATGGTTTTGTCACTATATCAGATATTTTTCTGGGTCTCTGGGTAGAATATCCTTCAACCAAGGTATTCTATATCCTTGATAGAATGCCCTGGCCCATACACTGAATGAGAGCGTACGTTTGGATTGACAGTTTAATCAACCAATCATATATTGATTTGTAGCCAATGGGCGTATTCTTTCGGAGCTTCCCTCGGTTCCAGGGTACTCTAGAAGGCCCGTTAGTTCACTGGCTCGAGACAGAGGATCCAGCGTAAGTGCTACGTAGCAATTCATTTGAAGTTTTATTGTTTTTTTATGTCGAAATGGCAACAGGTGAAGATGATGTTGTTGCGGAATTGTTGTTAGTACCCTTTTCAAGACGACCATTCAGTAAAAAGATGGACATTATCAAAAAAGGCTGTCCAACGCAAAGTGACTGCCTCTGTGACGTCCGTCTGACTAGAACAACCGAATTTTCGAATCCGGGGGAGGGTGTCTACAGAAGGTCCAGTTGTGATAGACACGGTTCGCCACTGGATAAAACAGACCGCGGAATTTGCGAATTGACCAATTAGAATTGAGTATTCAACCAAGCCATTTGTTAACTTGATGTACTTTGGTTCTTCCCTCAGGTCAGCTGTTGGCAGGGACTTGTGAGATCGTGACTCTGGATCGAGACAGCAGCCAGCCGAGGAGGACCATCGCCCGGCAGACGGCTCGCTGCGCCTGCAAGAAAGGACAGATCGCCGGGACGACTCGCGCCAGACCGGCCTGCGTCGACCGTAAGACAAAAAGCATGCTAATTTAACAACAACTAAACATTTGTTTGTCCATCCCTTCTAGTACATCTCCTATCACGGTCCAATGTATTACCAGCTTTCAACCTTTCATTTTATCTAACTTATTGTGTTTCCTACCAAAAGCACCGTCGTTTTACGTGTTGAACTTCTTTTTTATGGTTGGATGGTTTTCCATTGTTGGAATCATGGGAAACAAAAAGCAGTCAGGTGTTACATCTGATGTGTTCATGAGTCATTCATCAAACTTCTCCATTTGCGTCCCTCCATTAGAAACTGTCTTTCCTGTCTCGCTGTATATTTCCTGTTATGTAATGAAACTAATCATTCCCATATCAGTTGAATATACCTGCGTGCACCCTACGTCTGTAACTCATTGCGCTGGATTGGACTGCATTGTCTTATTTCACAGTTTGGGGGCCGGTAGACACTCCAAATACCCAAATGTATGTGCAAAAGCACAAAAAAAGGAAGTTTTTCATAATGTATCCCCTTTAACAAGTACGTGTTCTACTGTTTCTTATTCTTGATTATTGTTCATTCCAACCAGTCCGTAGATGTACGTGTTTTGTGATTTTAGGGAGAAATAAGGATTTAATAAAGTTTTTTTTAGTGATTGTAAAGAGTCAAGATGAAGCATCTTCTCTGAGGATGTATCAGTTCACAGCTTGTGGCTAAACTTGCACTTTATGTAGGAAACAAACACAGATAACTGCATCCTCCCTTTGTAAATCCTCCACATCTTTTCATCTGGACTGCAGGGTTCAAAAAGTCAAAGCCCAGATTGGAACAGCCCGGTGTTGCATATCATTTCATCACCGGCTGCCTTTCTGTTTCTCTTTCTGCCATCTGGAGGCGATGAAAAGCTGGAGTGACTGCTTCTGCTCTGCAGGCATCTTACAGCCTCTCCTGGAGATTTTCAGAGACTTAACAGTTGTTTATCTGAGTTGAAGAAACTCTCCTGCTGCTTTCCCCTCTATAAAGCTTCTGTTCAATAGAAATTCAGATACTTTCTCCTTCAGATTTGTCTTCAGATCTTAGTTTTTCCTCACATCAGCAATGCTTTCCGTCGGGACAATTACAACTTTAAGAAATGCTCAAGATTCAAACAAAGTGGGTTTTCGCTAGTTCAGCGAAAATAAAAGTGTGTCTTTTTGGAGATGAAGTTTGTGTTGTTGTTGGTAAAGAGACAACGTTTGTATTGTTGGGGGTTAAACTTCTTGTTGTTGGAGGTAAATATGTAAATGTTTGTGTTATGGATGTTAACCTGCTAAGCCCCATAGCCCCATAGCCCCAACTGTGTCTCAGGGCTTCTTAACATTTAACAACCTATTAATGTGTCATACCCACTTAATGGGAAGAAACTCAGCTAACTGACGATATGAATCATTTTTACCGAAACAAAACACAACTCTAACGCCAAGCGTCTGAATTAGCACTAAGCGAAAGAGTGCTAACGCACTTAGCACATAACTCACGGTAGAAATATTTTATACTTCTTCGGATCTGCACAAACAAGATATTATATGAAAGCTGAGATTCCACAGATTCCAATGGTATACGTATCGTCACGGTGCAACCAGAACTCAGGGCAGCGAAGGCAAGCAAAGACAACACACAACTTCACTTTACGTGGCCAAAACGGCAAATAACGTCTTACCTTTGCTGTTTTCTGATCAAAAGTTGTGTTCAATGGCATTACAACGCATATAAACACTGCTGAAGGTTAATCCAATGTCTCTGTGTCACTTTGAAAAGATTACTGATAATCCATCATAACATTTATGTCAATAAGAGTAGTTTTCATATATAGCTGCTATGAGAGCTACAAGAGTGTATGAGAGCTTCCGGTTTTGGGCATGCTGGCTGCGCATCACTCTCATTCACCAATGGTAATGTTTAGATGGATTTAGGAACTTCCCCTCGATTCTATTGGCTCTAACGGTTAAAAAGAGGTGTCAATCATCAAAATCGACCAATGGGTTCCAGAGATATGGCAAATACACCCAAATGACCCCAGAGGTGGGTTCTTTTTTCTAAACCTCTCTAAAAAGGTCAAATGTCACTTGTTTTGCATCAATCGTGATACAGGGTGCTTATTATATGTTATAGTTTAGATTCCTAAAGCTTTTAGTCTACCATCCCATCATTCAAGGGTGGTTTTCACTATAAGTAATGGTTTTATTTTGGACGGAAACTATAATTTAAATGTTTTTACTATGTTCAATCTGAATTTACTAAAATAAAAAACATCTATATTGATTCTGACTTTTCTACATCCAACTCACAGGTTTATCATTGCTTTGAGAAAAAAGATTATTAATTTACCCCTTATAGAGGTGAAGATATAGTCATTTGTTCTGGGCATGTCATTTTCGAGCCTGAGACCTGAACAACAGGCTCAGGGGTTAACAGGTTAAAGTTTGTGTCTTTTGAGCTGAAGTTTGTGTTGTTGGAGCTAAAGTTGTTGTTGGAGTCAAAGAGAAAAAGTTCTTATTGTTGGGGGTAAAAGTGTGTGCTGTTTGAGCTAAAGAGTTAATAGTTTGTGTTATGGATGTTTACATTTGTGTCTTTTGAGCTGAAGTTTGTGCTGTTGGAGCTGAAGAGACAACGTTTGAATTGTTGGAGCTAAAGTTGTTGTTGGAGTTAAAGAGTTAAAGGTTTGTGTTGTTGGAGGTAAAAGTTTGTGTTTTTGGGGCTGAAGTTTGTGTTGTTTGAGGTAAAGACACCAAGTGTGTGCTGTTGGGGCTGAGTAGGTAAAAGTGTGTGTTAAAGTTTGTGTTTTTGGAGATGAAGCCGGGAAAAGTGTGTGTTGTTGGTGGTAAAGAGAGAGTTTGCTCTGTCAGTGATCAGAGGTGTGTGAGTCGGCTGCTCGGGTTATTTCCAGCTGCAGACTCGATGCTGCCTGTTTCTGAGCTCAGAGACTCATCAGCAGCTTCCTGTTGTCTTTACACCCTGAATCTCTCTGAAAAACTCAAACCTGATCAAATCAATGATGTCTTCAATGCATTAAATTACCAGGAGCTGCTGGTGGTTGTTGTTTTAAATGTTTCATTATCTATTTATCTATATATTTATGCTCATACATTAATAGCATTAGGGCATTGTGCTAAAGACACATTATAATAAATACATCGAACCACATTTCAAAAACAGTCATTAAAAAGCCAAGAGAATAGATATATAAATGCTAAAATTGAATAAAACAGATACAAATTACAAGAATAAAAGTTAAAGAGGATTGTAAGATATGATTAGTTGTTTTATTTAATAAAAGGAAGCAACAAATAGAAGGGTCTCAATTTAAATGATGTGAGTTCTCTGGTTGTTTGTCCCAGATATATGGAGTATAATAAATGAACGCAGAGTTTACAAGAATATGAATGTACTTTTCACCTTCAGATTGAATAATTTTTTCATTTAAAAAACTGGCTAAATGTTGAGATACTATACAGAAAATGTGTTTTGACCCTTTGAATGCCTGCACTTCACCCTTAATCGTCGTTAAAGCGTATTTGAGTACCAGGAAAAGCGCTATAAAAAAATGTTTTTCTTTTTTTTTTAAACTATAGTCTCTCTGTAACCTTTAGAGAGCAGGTGTTTGTATTTATGTCAGTTTGTGTTTTCTGTTGCAATCTCAGGTCACATAAACTCTGAAGCTCCTTTAATGTCTCAGGGAGAAAAACAACGAGGGGGTTTAGACAAATAATAAAGCAGACTTTATTCAACACAAGAGACAGAAAAAAAGCCACAACAATAATGTCCCTGTAATTGGTAATTGTAAGTCGCTTTGGATAAAAGCGTCAGCTAAATTAAATGTAATTTTGTTTTTTTCATGTATTGATATTTGTCCATGTTGATGTTACACATGGAGCTGCTGTGATGCATGTCAAATGTCAGACTTGATCTGACCATTAAAGTATTATCGTATCGTATCGTGTTTAGTGTCTCGACTGTGACATTTAATGTTCCTTAATGTTCAAAAAGCTCTTTATTTTTCTCATACTACTTGTGCTGCAGCACCTCTTTTCACCCTATGTCTGAAACCAGAGCCCAGTCTGCTCTGATTGGTTAGCTGGCCGCCTCTGTTTTGATTGGTCAACAGGTTAGAGATGTCCCGCCCCTGAGCCTATCATGTACAATGTGTTGGAGCGCTAGCCAATAGAAGCGCGAGTGTTACCCCTAGATTCCACCAGGTCCGTCTGCGCCGCGTTGCGGTTTTGGTCCGGCCTCCTCCGGCGTCATACCCTACCAGGCGCGTTTCAGAAGCATTTCAGAAGCGGAGCTCTTGCCTGCCGGCTCGCAGTTTTTGTTGATTTGGGCATATTTCCTGGACAGGCTACTTTGTACAGACAAAGTTAATAATAACTGTAATATTCCAGTTATAAACGACATGAATCAAAGATGTGTTGCTGTATTTTAGTGGTAAAAAAATGCATTCATCATCATAATTATTCTATATATATAATTTACACAGTGCCTGTAAACCGGAGGAGAACGCTGGCATTTCTCCTCCTACTTGAAAGACTACGGAGGGATAGGGTCTGCAAAATTAGTTTGTGTGTGTGTATATATCTATATATATATATGCTATATATGCTCTGAAGGTTTCACTTCCTGCCTGCCCGACCTTACGTTACGGCTGCGCCGCGACAAAAATAGGATTCGATCCTAATTTTAGAGGAGCCCTGCGCCGAGCCGCTTCTGGGACGCTTCTGAGCCGTAACGCGCCGCGTGTGGTGGAATAGCACCCATTGACTAGAGTGGCCGTGATCGCCGTGAGCACCGCGACGCAGCCGTAACGCGCCCGTAACGCACCCGTAACGCGCCGCAGACGGACCCGGTGGAATCTAGGGGTTACAGAGTGATGTCATTAGGTTCTGGAAGTAAACAAGGGAGTCTAATGGAGGCGTTTTGGAGAGAAACAGGGATTTTAGCCTTTGCAGACCATTTACATGCACACAAACCTATATAACAACAGCTGG